AAATTTTCATACACATAACCAGACACACAAAGCAGTAAGACGCACGCACAAGCACACACACACGCACACGTACACACGCACGCACAAGCACACACACACGCACACGTACACACGCACACGTACACACGCACACACACACACACACACACACACATATATATATAAATAAATTAGAAAATAAGTAACTTGTATGGATGTAACAAACTCATCAGTATATACTTGATAAGTTAGTATATCTGTAAATATTCATAGGAGGTATGCGCTACACATCACACGACATTGATATGTATGCTAACAGCTTACGCAATCTTACGGTAAAACACATTGATATATAGAGCAAACTTGCTTTCATACGATTCATACAATGCATATAATGCATACACACGCTTGTCTGTAGAACAATTTCAAATACAGAAATACATAGCTACGAATCAGATATAATATCAGTATAAATTTAGTAATTTTACGATACATATACATGCGAAGTGAAGAAAATACGGGTCACTACATATGAAGATATACGTCGATATACAATTGCAGCCAACATTGTAAATACGGAGATATTAGACGTAGATGCTCAAGAAAACTGAACGGATGTTAACACTGTGGATATCGAATACGAGACAACAACATACTAAAAAATAAACAAAAGCATTTTCATCATATTGGTAGAAAACATGCTTACCAATCTTGAACTAAAACATACCATCGAGTACACATTGGAGGCGTTGTTCATCTTATCGATAGTCGTTGTGGTCGTGGTTGTCACGGTCTTCTTGTCGGGCGAGCAGTTGCACAGTTGGCAGCATCCACAACAGCAGCACACAAGAATATACGTACCTACTACACTCACGATTACACACGCGTACAACATGGGTAGATTGAAAGGTATATCATATCCACCTGTGCTACTTGACTCTACCACAGTCGTAGTTGTAGTACCATCGGCATTGGTGACAACTTGAGTTTGTTGCTGAGTACCCATACCCTCAAACTGTGCATAGCATTGGTCTACAATAGTGAGTACGACAATTATAAGTGTCAATACTGGCCGTGACCATAAAGTGCTCGATCTGGTCATGTTCATTGACAAATGTTTAACCCAGCCAGCGGATAGTTATATATTATTAATCTACTTATAGTATAAGTTGACGAACCTTCTCACAGTGAAGGACCTGATACTGTGATAGATAGTACAGTTACAACTACAGGCACTCTAGTAAAATTACAGCATAGATATCAATCAAGGGGCCTCAGGGCTCAGGCCTCGGCTTCTTTTTGAAATGCTTTACATTATGGTATGTTGCTTTCTTGAAATAAACCGCTTCAGTTACTACTCTTTATGCTGTCGGGCACATTTTAAATAGCCCTCCAAATGTTTTTTTTAAATACCAAGAGATTATACTTTTCTGGCGAGGTATTTAAAAAAAAATTTAAAAATAGAGGCTACGGGCACCGTATAGGGTTGGAACTTGACACATATTTGGATAAAAAAAATCATAGGCGCTCGCACCGACAACGTGTATTTACGTGTACTTTTTGTACGCGATATATCAAAATCTATTGTCGATGCACTGAAACAACACTTCTTATTTCTTCTGTCTATCTTGGGTTATCTATCATATCTGAGTCTCTCTTATCGGCGTATGCGATGTTCTTCGATGTATCAGACGAGGTGAAAGACATTATCCGAGAATGATTAGTTATAAGTTTAAACACATAGCGTGTATGTATCTATGTTAGCCTCCGCGTCAGTGAATCCGCTCATATTGGGTGCTAAGAGCAGTTGTATTGTTGCAACTGGATCTCTACTTACACGCGCCAAGTATATTTTTGAAAACGCTGCAACATGTAGTGCACCACTACTACCACAATTACTCTGAGTTGTGATTCCCGGATCAGCTATAAAATCATGTTAATGATAAAGGTAATCAACCGTCACAGCGTTCACAAATTCTGTTGTAGATTTTGGATATGATTATTCTCTATGTATCAATTTATTACAGTAAGAACTTTATTCGCATATTTAGTTAATAAACTTGTTGCGTTGCATCGTATATGATCTCTCATATCTAGTCGTGTCAGCTTATGTGCAGGGCTTGGTCTGCTAAATAACTCTTGATACCATTGAGTATCCTATGATTCGGTACCCAACGGCGGTCTTCGCACAGCTGTGGCAGCATCTCTATCACTGTTCCAATGCCGGCAAACTGGAGAATCTGTGCAGAAAAAATACAATGTACATATACTATGAACGCTATCGATTTGGGATATGTGTAAAACGATATTTGTGCACTTGATCTAGTATGTGTATTTTGTGAAATGTTTCTTGCGTATTTAGTCTAGTACGTGTATTTGTATGCCTCCAACAGTGCTGCTTGCTCGCGTAAAAAGATGAGAATAAAATACACATGAAGGACACTACATACATAGAACGCCGAAGCATGATATTTGCGCTGTGATTAATAGACAAATGCTGAGGGATTTAAGAACATGATTCACTTCGCACACTCTTGGTAGAATCACTTCACTGATCCATATCGACAGCGGCACAGACTTCTTACGACAAACCTATATACCTCTATATTCGTATCGAGTCCTATCTGGTACGCATCTTCGGGAAACTGCTTCAAATTCTCCAAGGTTTTGTGGATACACAATGCACGCAATTCGGTCAGCATATACTGTTGTGCGACTGCATTGTGATACAGAATGTGTCGCATCAACGTGTTAGCGCGGATGTCGTTTTAATCACCTCATTGCCGCAAGTGTCATATGATACGCCCCATCGCAAGTATACTCGATGTTGTCACCGTACTAGGCGTTCAGATTGTTCGTTGCAAAACACGGTCCTGTTTCAGACCTGATAGCGGTCCAATATAGACTAGTTGACGATCCACTAAACCCAAAATAGACCCAGTAGTTAAACTAATGGGGCGTGTCTGATAGTTGATGTACATGGCTGCGGCTACTTCAGATTGTTCAATCCAGTGCTACATTGGCTTCCCAACCAACACTCAGAAAGCCATCCCAAATTTCGATTTGAATTAAGATTGAGGCTTTGACTATCGATCACAATACAATGCGAGGCGAGCTAGACGAGGAAATACACACAAACATAAACATAAACACAAACAAACACACACACACACACACACACACACACGCACACACACACACACACACACATATATATATATACATAT